TTCCTCTTCAGTGAGCAGAGACACTCTGTCACTCCCTGCCCTGTGATCACAGGTTTCGGCACAGGCCCAGACTCACCAGAGCCGGGAATATAGACGATGCATCTGCAAACGGGCTAACCTGAGTTGTGCCCCGTATGCCGTTCATACCGGATGGGCTGTCACAGCGGCCGCAAGTCTGAGTGATACATTACGCTGGCAAGCTTGGGAAAAGATGTGTTTGTGTTGGCTGGAGACAAAAGTGAGGGGGCTCAGGACAGCGTCACCAGTGGGAATGCTTCCTGTCCGGAGGCTCCTGGGTGTTCACCCTTCAGTGGGTCTATGCTGAGGGACCCAGTGCGTCCTCTTTCTCCTAAGTGCCCAGGTCACGGAGTGAGCAGTGCTTAGGAATCTTGATCTCAAGGGAGTTCTCGCAAAGGCCTTCCACAGTGTTAGGAGGGTGGTGTGCTGTCTGTGGAAGGTGGGAGGAAGCACTAGATAATAGATCCTGCCTGGCAGAGTGGGGTGTTTGCGGTTCAGTGCGCGTGTGAAAGCCGCTGTAGGGGTGTGTGTGTGTGTGTGTGTGTGTGTGTGTGTGTGTGTGTGTGTGGACTAGTTCATCCCCCACCACTGAAAGAGAGAGAGGGACAGACAGAGGGAGAGGCCTGGTGCATTCCAGTGCAGCATGCTGGAGAGGCCTAGGCAGGAGGGTCCCGAGGGAAAGACGGGGAGAGGAAATATGGGGGCAGTGTGGGGCAGGGGGCACCGCACAATTATGATGCTACCCTTGTATTCTGGGTGCAAGGTCCCACGGTTTGAGTGACCCTGTGGTAGCTCTTTGAACTTTGAGATGAAATACACACACACACACACACACACACACACACACACACACACACACACACACAAGAAACCAAGGCCATATCAAATTATTCTTTTATTGTTCCAGTCAAAAAAAGAGGAACGCCTCAGTATGTAAACAGTTTCCCTAACACAGCGAGTTCTTAAATATATATATATATTTATTCTAAAAAAATTTGGCATTGTAGAGATTTCTCAATACATAATTTGTGCTTTCGCAGTTGGCATGCTTTCGCCTTGTTGTCCGTGCGCAGACGTACTTGGAGTTGAGTGACGGGAGTTACCAGAGGATGGAAGTGGGTCAGGAGCCAAACCGGGGCCTGAGGTCTGCCTGGCTCACTTTTCAAAAGCCTGGCGGGAGGTTGGCAGCAATGACCTCAGAAGCAGATATCAGCTACTTTACTGCGAAGAGAAGTTGAAGCCTTCGCGGGAGTTTTTTGGGGAAGATTTTTCCCCCTGTGTTTTTCTGTGCGTCTCTAAAAGATCATTGGTTTTTGCTTAAGGAAAGCTACAGGGGTGGTCCAGTATTCTCTGCATATGGTTTTGCTGGGCTTGCAATTTACTATGACATGCCACAGAAATGCCACTTTTTCCTATTCCCCTCCCCCCGCAGATTCACTGAATTATTTGGGAGTGCTTGACGATTGTGTCAAGGACATCCTGCTTCAGTTCAGTGCAAACTGTCCTTTTGTTCAACTGTAAAGCGTCAGGAGCTATTTTGACACTGTGATGGCTTTATTAATAAGCCCACCTGTGGCCCTCCACCTCCAGTTCAGAGTGGTCTACGATTTAGCACCAGTTTTCACAATGTATTTTTATCAAATCCCCTGGGAAGTCGTCTACTCTGTGTCGGCCAGCCTAGGTACTGTCCCCTGGCTCCCTGCAGCATGTCTGTATGTCTCAATCTGGCCCCTCATTATGACACATCTTTCCCATGGATCTCTCACTTCCAAAGCCCACCAAGGCACAAGAAATATCAGGATGCCTCCCTTCCTGCCACATGATACTGTTGCCTACTGCCCATAGAAAGGCCGGCTTGTCTTCAAATTCCAGTCAATGTGGTCTAGCTGCCCCTCTGGATTAAGTATTTTTATTCCTAAAACGAGACTCACTTTCTTCATGTGTAATATGGGGAACAGTATTTGCTCACAGGGGTTTGTGTGGCCACACAGTAAGAGCTGGTGGCCATGGGGTAGTAGCTTGTTGGGGACAACGGAAGGTGTTACTATTTATTAGTATCCCCCAGGGTATCTTGCTTAAGACATTGCTCACTGGACAGTAAGCACTCACTATGTGTCCATGACCAGACTGCCTTCATAGAGCCTTGCCCTTGTCTAGCATTAATTAGCTGCTGGATCTTTTAGAACAAAAATAAGTTTTGGCATGCTCTCAGCCTTGAAGACTGCCACACACCTGGAAATGAAAACCTTTGTCTGTAGGACATAAGCATGTTATTAAAAACTCAGGTTCTTAGGAAAATTTCTGGGGACAGAGTTGAAGACTAAGTCTATTTGTATTTCTGGTTTTTCTGGGGGAGGTTATGTTTGCTTAAAACATTTTAAACTTTAATTTAAGTTTATGTATGTGTGTGCATGTCTGTGTGATTTAATACCACTCGTGTGGGCGTCTGAAAATGTCAGAAGAGGGTTCTGATCCTCCGGGGCTGAGGGTACAGGCAGGTGTGAGCTGCCCTGCCTGGATGCTGGGCAGCAAACTTGAATCCTCTGGAAGAGCATTCTCAACTGCTGAGTCACAGCTCCAGCCCTTTGTGTTCCTTAGAAATGGATTCCTGTGAGGACCTCAGGACACCTCAGCTTCAAGGCCTGGTTCCAGGGCTCCTTGACTTTGTCTTGATAAGTCTGTGAGACCCTTTGGTGAGAGCTTTGTGGTCCATGGAAGTACAATACCTCCAGACCAGAGACTCAGTCTTATCCTCAGTTCCACTGAACTGTGAGAAAAGGATTTGGCACTGATAATGGACTTTTGAACTAGTGGACTTTCCAGAATAATTTTTTTTTTTTCTATCCTAGCTCACAGAGAAACCTCCTATTTTACTCAGCCAGGCAAGCATCTGGGAAAGACAGATACAAGTCATTATTTTTTAACCTATAATGAAAAGGATTTCTTCTTTCTGCTTTGGGCAAAAAACATGGAGGGAAAAAAGCAGTGCTGTTAACGTGAGTTACGGCTGAAATAGAGCGGAGCTATGGAACATGGCGCCTTCGCGTCTCTGGTGTTGTGTGTGGTTTAGTATCAACACAATTCTGGTGAAGTCCCTACATGCATGTTTCCAGTGGTGCAGAGCTGGAGTTGTGTGGAAATCAGTCATTACATGCTGGTATTGAGTTACTTAAAAAATTATCTTTATTTATGAGAATCTGTTTGTGTTAGAATGTACATGTGTGTTCAGGAGTGTCAGGTACCCAGTAGGTGGAGTTACAGGTGGTTGTGGGCCTCCTGACACAGGTGCCTGGACCCAAGCTCTGGTCCAAGCAAGAGCAGCAGATGTCCTTAAAAGCTGAGCTGCCCTTCCACCCCCTGGTGACCTTCTCATTTAATATGCAGCTGTGTGTTTATTCTACACTGATGATGCTAACCACTTTGGTGGAGGCCACAGTGCCCTACAAAGTGCCTACCTCATCATTACCTATGCGCTACCTGGGTTAGTGTGGAGATGCGAGAGGGATGTAGCTGGTGAAGGCGTGCTGGGGACAGGAGCAGGAAGAATTTACAAAGTTCAAAGCTGACTCAGTTAGGGACCACGAGTTTAAGAGTGATGTTGACTTAGACTGATGGGGTGTAACTAGGAACTCATGTCAGGACCATAGAGACAGAGACTCTAGAGTCAAACACATGCTGGAAAAATGAGGAGTTGAACATCAGGTGACGGACTCTTCTCAAGGCCACAGAGAGCATTCATTGGGACACTTCATCCTGGGCCGTTAGAACACCTTAACACATTAAAACTATAAAAATTCTATAGTGTTCCTTTTCAGAACACAGTGGAGTTAAGCTGGAAATCAATAATGGAAAGAGACCTGGGAAATCTTTAAACACTTTACAATCAAACAACACAATTCTCAGTAACACAGGGTGCAGAAAAAATCCTCAAGAGAAATTAAAAAAAAATACCTTGAACCCAGTGAAGATGAAACCACGATTTTAGACATGAAGTGAAAATAGAGCCTGAACAAAACTTTATACATCCAGTGCATCAAGCAGAACAGAAACCTGAAACCAGCCCTCTAAGTTGTGGGAGTGAATTCAATCCAAAGCCAGTGAGGAATAGAGACGAGGGTACACACTGATGAAACTGAAAACAGGAAGTCAACGGAGAGTCCACAGAACCAAGGACTAGTTCTTTGAGATAAAACAAAATTATTAAATTTCCGTTTGAGCAGGGAGAGAGAGAGAGAGAGAGAGAGAGAGAGAGAGAGAGAGAGAGAGAGAGAGAGAGAGCCAGAAATCACTGCGGAAAGGGATGGGAGGGAGCAGTGTAACTCAGACATGAAAGGACACCAGAGGATGCATCCACACTTCACCGTTTGTGTGAAGGAGACTCATTACAGGAAACATACAGTCTGGCAAAACTCACAGTAGAGGAAATAGATAACCCCAAAGGTCTGTACATTAGAGACTTAAAGTTTTGTTTATTTTTATTTATGTGTATGAGCATGAATGCCTGCATGAGTTTATGTGCACCACACACATGCAGCAGCCCGTGGAAGCCAGAAGTTCCAGGTCCCTTGGCACTGGAGTTATAGGTGCTTGTGAGCCACCGTGTGGGCACTGGGAACTGAACCCAGGCCCTCGCAAGAACAACAAGCAATCTTAACCGCTGAGTCATTTCTCCAGCCCCGACTTTAAGTAAATTATTCATGGCCTTTCCAACCAGAAAGCACTAGGTCCAGATGGGCTCATTCTGGGTGGATTCTTCCAAGTGGTTAAGGAGGAAAATATATCAATTCTCTGTAATCTCTGTCAGAGGATGTAATTAGAAGAAATACTTCTCAATCCACACTAGGAGTCCAGCGTCACCCTAAGAACAAATGAGGAAAAGATACTTCAGTAAACGAAAACTACAGATCAATAGCTCCTATGAACACAGATTCAAATAGCCTCAACCATAAACCACTCACAAATTGAATCAAACAATGCATAAAAAGAATTATATACTATGACCAAGTGGGATTTATGCCAGATAAGAAAAGTAGTTCAACATTCAAAAATAAGTGTCTGTAATCCACATTAGTGGGCAGAGTAATACAAATTATATGTGCTACTATTGGTGGATGCAGAGGGAGAATTTGATCAAACCCAAACTGTGATCCGCTATGAAAGTCCTTAGTAAGTATCAGATATCTGAAATCACACAGTATTGTGGTCTTTTTAGATTGTTTTAACTTAATAATTTGCACTTAAGCTATTCTATGTTGTTCCATGATTTTGTGGATTTTTTTCAGTTATGGAATGATTCATTGCTTAGATAAATGCTTGTTTATTCACTTATCCCAAGAGTACATCTTGGCCTCTAAGCCTTCTGCAGTTATTAATAAAACTGTTGTAAATAACAAAAGGTTCTCTGTAAAGTATGGCTAGAGGGACATTTATTTTTTTTTAACTATTTATTTATTTTTGACATGTCTTGAACTAGAGGAGCAGCATTTAAAACTTTCCTTTGGTTCATTTCACTTAACTGACAGAAACTTGTTTTTTTCTGTTCAGACCCAGAACAGGCACCATTGCGTTTTAACATGATTCTAGATGTCAGATGGTGCAATAAGACAAGAAAAGTTAATAAAAGACATCAGATCAGAAGGGAAGAAGTAGTTATCATTTATAGATGATAGCTCATCTCTAGAAAAACCTATAACTGACAGAAAACCAAGACTGTTTTTTCTGTTCTTTTCAAGACAGGGTTTCTCTGTGTAGCCCTGGCTGTCCTGGAACTGCCTTGTAAACCAGGCTGTCCTTGAACTCACAGAGATCCACCTGCCTCTGCCTCCCAAGTGCTGGGATTAAAGGCGTGCATCCCTCCCCCAGCAAAACCAAGATTAAAAAAATTAATTACATAAAGATTTTGGACACAAATTAGTATACAAAAGCCAACTGCTTTCTTATATACCAGCAATGAGCAATTAGAATCTGGAATAAAAAAATATGAGCATCTAAATTAGCACCCTTGAAATGAAATACTTGGGTATAAGTCTCATAGGCTACATATAAGATCTGTGTGGGGAAGATGTAAGGGGTGAAGATACCGAAGACATAGGTATGTGAACAAAACCAGCACTGTCAAGGTGTTTTCTCTCCATTTTGATCTTTAGAGTTAATATGATACCAATCCAAAGTCAAGCAGATTACTCTGTGGATCATAAAGTTTATATGAGAAACAAAAGACCCAAAATAGACAAATGAATCATTCAGTACCAAAGAAACAATGCAAAGACAGAGGACTGACGCTACCAAATGCTAAGACAGTAGTCAGCCAGTTCCATCACTAGGGACAGTGTGGTACTGGTCAAAGAGTCGGTGGGCAGATGAAGGACCTGAATCGAGAGCCCAGAAGCAGTCCACATAGATCACAGTGATCGGCCTGTGCAGGACACAGGTTGCTTTTTGACAAAGGAGCAAAGGATGCTGTTTCAGCAAATGATACTAGAGGTATTAGACACTCAAAACAAGATAAAAAAGAACCTGAACACAAACTTCACCTCAGTCACAAAACATCACTTCACAGCCATCATAGATCTGGGGAAAAGATAAAACGACAAAGCTCCCAGGAGATAGGAGACAGTCTGGATGAATTTGGGGATGACGACAACTTCTTAGACACAGCTCCAAAGGTGCATCCATGAGAGATGATTGCCAGGCTGGACTTCATTGAAATAAGAAACTTCTGCAGAGCAAAAGAAACTCTCAGAGAATGGCAAGCAGGGAGAAGTATTTGCAAAAGTCCCAGCTAACGAAGAACAAGAATTCAAAATATACAAAGAGCCTTTTCAGTTCAAGAATAGGAAAAAGAATGCCCACCTACAGAGTGGACAAAAGACCTGAGCAGAGATGCTCCAATGTGACAATCTACAGACAGAAGTATCTGAGAAAGTGTTTGACACACCTGTACCAAGGGCACAAATCCAAATCACTGACACCATCAAACACCAGGAGGAGCAATCAGAGCGCTCACTCATTCCTAGAAGAATGAAAAAAAAATAGTACAGCCACCAGGGAAGACAGTATATCAGTTTACAAGGGAAATGTCTCACCATGTAACACAGCAATCATAATTCCTGATATTTGCACAAATGACCTGAAAGCTTATTTCCATATAAAAACCACACTTAGATGCTTTTAGAAGTTTTATCACTAAAAAGGCAAATGGTCAAATGAATTCTGGTGTGTCCAGAAAATGGAATATTGCTCAGTCCTGAAGAATGGAGAGCTATGAAGCCACGAGGAGCCACGGGAGGAACTTTCAGGGAGTACTACCAAGTGGAAGAATACAACCTCGGTAGACTTGTCACTGGGCCACTGCAGCCACAGTCTACGGAACAGGCCAGCTGCCCAGACTGGGAAGGAGCCGTGGGCATTAGGAAGGGGTGAGGACTACAGAGAATTGTGGGGTGGCCAACCTGCTCTGTATGGTACCACAACGGTGGGAATCTGTCCTTACAGAGTTGCTCACACATTCCATGTTCATGGACAAGAGTGGGCCCTAACTTCACCTCCAAATGTGGGTGATAATGGTGCATTGGGATAAGTTCATAAACAGTGACAAATACACAGTCTTGTCAGTAATGAAGGAGGATGGGAGGGGATGGGGCATATGGGGGCTTTGTGCTTTCTGCTTAATTTTTCTGTGAACTTAAAATGTCCCTAAAAAGTTATAACCTATCACTTAAAAAAAATTGGGAGAGGTTCAGGGTTTTATCTAAGACCAGATAGCTCATGATGGGGAAGCAGGGTGGGTGGTGGGTGGGGGGAAGCAGGGGCAGACCCAGGACCAGGCTCCCAATCTCCAACAGAACACTGATGGTGGGTTCTTATGGCCCATTGCCTATGTGTGGGTCAGCGATGTGTAAGATCATTTAAAAGCTAACGCCACTGTGATGACTTGAGAGGATGGTCCTCATTTATGTTTCGACTTCCAGAAACCTTTTCTTTTAGATCTTACTTTTATTATTTTAAATTGTGTGTGTGTGTGTGTGTGTGTGTGTGTGTGTGTGTGTGTGTGTGTG